ATCATTGAAATAAAGAATATCTGGAGGTACAGTTATATGGGGCCGATACGAAATGGTTTACCACCTCTGCAGAAAAGGTGTTTCCTATTACGAACTTCAAATACCAAGTTTGAGATAATTCTGTTTAAAACGTAGCTAAAATCATAAAAATAAAGAACATAGGTGGAGTACAGTTATATGGGGCCTATAACGTTGACTTATTTTTATATTATACCATTTTCAATACCAAAAGTCCTTGAAGACCTAAAACTGATCTAAATTTTATCAATTTACTTCATTTTGTTCAGAATCTAGAGCCTATTTCGGTAAAAAAAATGGACGGACATCGTTAATTCGACTTAGAATTTTATGCTGATCCATAATATATATGTCTTGTAGGGTCTAAAAACATATGTTACAAACAGTGACAAACTTAATATACCCTCCATAGAAAGGTGGAGGGTATTCAAAGAAGTTTATAACACCATTGGTCTTCCGAGATACAAGTCAACGACAGACATGAAATATTTCACAAAAAGTTCTCTCTCAAAAGCTTCAGCTATTTTTTAAATCTCCAAACCTCCTGCCCCTTCGGCAATTGGTTTGGTATTGCTTGATTTAGGTAAATTTCATTGGGAAAGGTCAGTTTTTTGTACGATCCAACATTTATCGGATAGAACCATTATGTAAACATGTTGCAAACATTTAGACTAAAACCCTTAAAAATGTTTTCTCTAATAAACACATTGCGCGCCATCTTTTGGGTTCTATTGAATTACAGCGACAACTCCAAAAGATCTCCTTCATTCGTTCTTGTTTATTTACTGCATTTATTTTTAGATTTTCTTTTGCAACAGCAGCAACAACAAACAGAAAGGTCGTTTATTATTGTCGTCTTTGCAATTCTTTGGGGGGTCTGCTGGGAGGCACTGGAGGCACTTTGTTTTGAGAAGATGCCTAACTACTACGAATGAAATACAAAAACTGGTAGTAAAACAAACTCATGCAAGGCAACGCCATATTACTCTCTCTCTCTCTCGGCGACGCTCTCTGCAAGAAATCAATTCTTGGCTTGAACGGCGAATTATTTTCTTGAGTTAAATTCGCCTTGGAATGTTGTGTTTTCGATATGTCGGTGTGTGTGTGGTACAACTACATCATAAATGGTACAGCATCATCATCAGCTTGTCTTAACATCAACGTCGTCGTTTGGCGCGTCGTCAACTTCGTCATCATTTTGTTTGAAAAGACAATCGGGCGGCGACCCGACCGACCCACCTTTACTACTACGTTTTGTTGTGTATTGTGAGAAAAATATGTGGCCCGCCATAAAGCAGCTGATAAATATATCAAAACAAGCCCAACCAGCCATTCAGCAATAATGACAACAACAATGAAAACATTCATCTGCAAAGATATACATGCATACATACCAAACATCGACGATAAAATACGAAGGTGAAACGGCGGCATTTTATCGTCATCGTGTCGCGTTGTCGTCTGTCCATCATCATCGTGAATTGTATGTGCTTTTCCATGCTGTTGTTGTTTGAAGATTGACTTGTTGTGTTTGCTTTGTTGTGTATCTTTGTCACACAAAACCGAAGCAAACGAACGAACGACGACGACAACAACAAAAATAACAAGAAAACAAAAAGGTGAATGAAACTGCATTCCATTCCAATGGAAATTCCATTGCATTCTAGCACAGATTTTTGTCCAACTCTTTTTCATTGCTCCCTCTCCCGCTCGCTCGCTCTCCCTCCGTCTTGTACTCTTTATTCTGTACCCATCTCGTTTTCTCTTGCCTATGTAGGCATTTTGTATTTGGGGTTTTTATGTTTGTTGTGTGCTGCCCCATTCATTTATGTTCTGTGCTGTGGAGAATGCGGTTTTCTGCATAATATTCATATGTTTTTGCGCGCACACCCATACAGTGGCTCAAGTGTACACATTCACACACATATGTATATAACATATTGGCGGGATTCTTGCATTCCAATGGAAGCCTAAAACAGCGTAAGAAGATTGAAAAAAAAAAAAAAAAAACACGTTTGCAAAGCTTTATAAAACTAATCTTAAAATTCCACAAATTCTTATTGGTAGCTGGAGAAAAAACCTATTCTTAAAAATCTGCAGACAATTTCTGTACAATAAATTCAGGGAGGCTTTATGGAAGTCTTCTTCGAAAAAATATATTTTAATCCTTGAAAAAATGTACATTTTTAAAAATAGGTAGGCAGTCCTAGAAAACCGATTTGTGAAAATTCATGGATTTTTATGGGCCTCGAGAGAAATAATTTTAAAAATGAACGAAATTTAATAAATTTGAAAAATAATTTTTTAATAATAATAAATAAATAATAATAAATAATTTTAATAAATAAATAATTTTTAAAAATATATCAATAATTTTGAAAAACATTTTTTAAATTCACGCACATATGTTTACAGCTCTTGAAAAAACAATAGATAGAATTCAATGAAAAAACTTTCTAGGCCGTTAATCAATAAAAATGTGGACCTTTAAAAGTCCTTCAAAAAAGAAAAAATTAAAAAACCAAAGATTTAAAAGTTGTCTTTGAAAATGCATGTAGACCACGGACTATCAAAGCTCTTGAAATATATTTAAAATTAAATCCTCGGACATCCCTCACACACCCATTAGAAGTTCTTAAAAAATAATATTAAAAAATCCAAAGATTCTTTTAATCTTTGCAAAAAATATATTTATAAAAATTGTCCTTGAAAATAGGTCTTTGAAAATTCATGTGGACCACAAACCATTAAAGTTCTTGAAAAAAATTTAAAAATAAATCCACGGACCTTCCTCACACCCATAAAAAAATCTTTCTAAAAATTCATGGACGTCTGTAGTCCACGATGCGCAATCCTTACAGTTTTTTACAAAAGAATCAATCAAAGGACCTTTAAAGAAATATTTTAATAGCATGGAGGGTAAATTAAGTTTGTCATTCATTATTTTATACCCCACAAATTGTTGATCAGCATAAAATTCTATGCCCGTTCGTCTGTCTGTCTATTGAGATCACTCTAGCTTCCGAACAAAATGAAGTAGGTCGAAAAAAAATTTACTTAGATGTGTTTTAGGTCTGCTGGTCTTTTGGTATTAAAAATGGGTCATATATGTCCACGTTTTGCTATAGACCCCATATCATTTTACCAACAGATTTAAGATTTTTTGGGTGTTAAAGTCCCAATTGCAAACCCGATTTTGCTGTAAATTGGGAATATGTATCCCCAGTATATAGAAAACAGTCTTGCAGCGAACTGTACATATAGGCAAAAAGTTGGTATACGCCCCATATAACTCTACCTCCTGATTTTCGGTATTTTGTTGATCTCTATCACAATTTTCACTGGAAAATTTGATATTTAGAGTTCGCAATGGGTACTACCTCCTATGACAGAAAATTGCCTATACAGGTCCACATCTTCGTATAGGCCTCATATAACTGTACCTCCAGATATTCGGTATTTTGATGATTGTGGCACACTTTTCACCAGAATTATTTTAAATTCGGAATTTGGAGTTCACTTACACCGGCAAATAATTGGCTGTAGATGTTTCTTGTAGGTCCCACATAACTGTACCTCCAGATTTTAGATATTTTAATGATTTTATCTACGCTTTTCACTAGAATTATTTCAAATTCGGAATTTTAAGTTTGTAATGGATTCTACATCCCGTGACAGAAAATTGTCTGTATAGGTCCACGGTTTCCTATAGGCCCCATATAACTGTACCTCCAGATATTCGGTATTTTGAAAATTTTAGCCCATCTTTTCACCAGAATTATTGCAAATTCGGAATTTGGAGTTCGCAGTGGGTACTACTTTCTCTGATAGATAATTTGGTAAAGAGGTCCACGTTTTCGTATAGCCTCTATACAACGATCCTCCCTATATTCGGTATTTTGACGATTTTAGCCACACTGTTTACCAGACTTATTTTAAGTTCGGAATTTACAGTTCGCAGTGGGCACTACTTCCTCTGGTAGACAATTTGGTAAAAAGACACACGTTTTCGTATAACTAGCTCAGTTCCAACGGTACCTCGATATTTTTATGTTCTTAGCCACACATTTCACCAGAATTATTTTAAGTTCGGAGTTTAGAGTTCGCCATGGGTATTAATTCGTATAGCCACCTCTTCGTATATAACTGTAGCTCCAATTTATAACTGTACCTCCTGATATTCGATATTTTGATGATTTCAGCTACACTTTTCACCAGAATTATTTCAAATTCAGAATTTCCAATTCGCAATGGGTACTTCTTTCTCTGGCAGATAATTTGCTAAAGAGATACACTTTTTCCTATTGCCTCTATACAAAGATACCTCCCTATATTCGGTATTTTGACGATTTTAGCCACACTGTTTACCAGTTAAGTTCGGAATTTACAGTTCGGAAGGGGCACTACTTTCTCTGGTAGACACTTTTTTTTTCCTACAACTTGCCCAGTTCCAACGGTACCTCCATATATTCAATATTTTTATTAGCTTAGCCACACTTTTCACCAGAATTATTTTAAGTTCGGAATTTACAGTTTGCAGTGGGCACTACTTCCTCTGGTAGACAATTTGGTAAAAAGACCCACGTTTTCGTATAACTAGCTCAGTTCCAACGGTACCTCCATATGTTCGATATTTTTATGTTCTTAGCCACACATTTCACGAGAATTATTTTAAGTTCGGAGTTTAGAGTTCGCCATGGGTACTAATTCGTATAGCCATCTCCTTGTATATAACTGTAGCTCCCAATATTCGGTATTTTGAGGATTTTAGCTACATTATTCAACAAAATTATCTCGAATTTGGTGGTTATCAGGACCACCTTTTCTGGCAGCTAATTTGCTGTCACACCTTATTTTTGATAGTATTTTTTTACACTTTGCAAATCCTGATGGTCCTTCTAAGTGCTTGCTTTTCTTTTACTTCTTTTTAAATTATTTATTTCATGTTACTAATCTTCACCTCCCATTTCTCTTTTTTTCAGATTACAATTGGAAGATTCCGGAGGTGAATCGTATATAATACAGGGCGAACAATCATATGAACATCATCATCAGAGTGGCGGTGGCATGTCATCACCATCATCTAAAAACTTATCACGTCAACGTCACAACAGCAGCGGCATCAGCAGCAGCAACAACAACATGTCATCTCAAGGCGGTACAAAATTGGCATGCGGTACTCTGCCACCCCCACCATCGGTCAATAAAACGACACTAGAGAACGAGAAGCGAATACGTCGTGAAATCGCCAACAGTAACGAACGAAGGCGTATGCAAAGCATCAATGCTGGTTTTCAAAATCTACGTTCACTATTGCCAAAGCACGAAGGAGAAAAATTGAGTAAGGTAAGTGATGGTCGATACATATATACGGCGAACTTTTATTTATGGGTATCTAATTATTATTAATTGAAATTGAAAGAGATATATTTTTTCGGATTTAGACAACTGACTCATTTGAATAGAAAAAAGAGAAGAAATGTTTTCAACAGCTGTTCCGAATAATTCATTTCAAGGAAAAATGAACGTAAATTAGTTGGCAAAGAATAGGCATATTTGGTGTAGCAAAAAAGGAGGACAGGGAGAATATACCTGGCAGGACCTCTTCCTATCAATCTAGATTAAAATCCTTAAAAAAATATTTTTAAAAATCTACTAGCCGTTATAGACCTGAAAAGAAAAATGTATACCCTACCCCACACAGTGGTAAGGGTATTATTTCTTTGTGTATTTCTTTGTAACATGGAGAAGGAAGCGATATAGACCCTTAGTTCCTTTTAGAATCACATTCTAAGTCGATTTATGCATGTCCGTCCGTCTGTCCATGTATTTTTGTAAAAAAAAGTCTAAGTCGCATTTATTGCGCGATTGAGATGTCATTTTGCCCAAATAATTTATCTGGCCCAAGGACGAACTATATTGAAATTGGAGATAATCGGTGAAAATTTAGATATAGCTCCCATATATTTCTTCAACCGATTTCGGGTTAATTGTACACCAAATGGCCAATATCAGTCTAAATGTTCTGAATTTTGGCACATCCGACGGAGTTCAGTTAAGAAGCAAGTACATCAAATTTGGTGGAAATCGGTTCACTTATAGCTATAGTTCACATATCCGATTTGGGGTTTAAGGTCCCCCACACATGCGTAATATGGACTCCACAACAATGATCTTTGATACCAGCTATCAGATACAGCTCGAGAAATAAGTGCCTAAAATTTTGTCAACATCGGTTCAGATTTGGATATAGCTCCAATATACATCTTTATCCGATTTCAGGTTTATTGTGCACAAGATGGCCAATATTAGCCCAAATGAACTGAATTTTGGTATTTAAGACGGAATTTAGTTTAGAAGTAAGTACCTCAAATTTGGTGAAGATCGCGTCAGATGTGGCTATAGCTCCCATATTTGTGTAAAATCCGGTGAATCATCCGATTTGTGATAAATCCGGTGTTAAAGTCACTCACATGCGTAATATGTAAAGCACGACAAGGATATTTGATACCGGACATCAGATACAGCTCGAAAGTAACCTCTACCAAATGCTATAGAGACTGGTTCAGATTTTCATATACATTTGATTTACAGGGTGAGATAAAAAAACTGCAACAAAATCAAACGCCATAATTTTTACATCTTTTTTTTAATTTTATTGAATGAAGGAAAAAAATGTCGGAAATAGCATCAAATTTTAGAATAAGTTTAGATTTGTTCGAATCGATCACCTTTGGCACGAACTTTGGCCTTTAAACGGCCAATGACACCGTCACACGCTGCCCGAATGTTGCTCTGCTGTATTTTGGCCCATTCCCGGCGAACTGCTTGCTTGAGGCGATCGACACTTTGGTATTTTCTAGTGCCAACCCTGCTCTGCAAAATACTCCAGACACAATAGTCCAACGGGGATTGGTATTCGGAGATTTTGGTGGCCATTGTGCGCTGGAAATGAAGCGAGGAACCTCATTTTGTAACCAATTCTTGGGTGGCGCGTGCTGAGTGCGATTGTGCTGAGTCCTGTTGGAATGTCCAAGGTGTGCGGGCAAAATGTTTGCGTGTCCAAGGCTTTAATACACCCTCCAGAATATTTTCGCGATAATTTTCGGCATTTATTCTGATGCCACGGTCGATTAATACGTGCGGAGAGCGACCATCGGCTGTTATGGCGGCCCATACGATCACCATGGCCGGCACTTGAGATCTGGTGGCCAATCGAAGGTGCACATTTTCAGCTGACCTCTTTGGCAGGTAAACACGATAATTTTGTTGGTTTCTAGAAACTGCTGGACAACGAATGTTTTCTCATCGGAGAGAACCAAATTCGGCAGTTCACCACTTTCGGCCAAGCGAAGCTACTCTTTAGCTCTTTTGAGTCTATTTTCTTTCGGTTGCGGTGTAAGCTGTTCTTGCACTTTTTGGAATTTCAATGGCTTTAGTCCGAGCGCATTTTTCAATATTTGCCGAAAGGAATATTGCGATATGTTCAGCTCACGAGCCATTTTTCGGCCACTGCGACGCGGGTTTCAATCAAGTCGCTTCTTTACTTTTCCAACCACTTCTGCTGTTTTCTTCCGTCCACTTCCTTGACGTCGAGCTACGCTACCGGTATCACGGTAACGAGCGATGGTATGAGAACGAGACAAAAGATTTATTCACATTTAAATGCTGGAGTGGTCTAACGATAGCCACTTGTGGTTCCAAGCCAAAATATAAGGAAATCGCACTATCACGCTTAAATTCCATCACGAATAACAATTTTTTCTGGAAAATTCTCACCAAAATGCTTTTGTACGCTTGTAAACAATATAATGAGCTGTCACTGGTATAATTTTAACAGCTGTCGGGCGAGTGGCTTAGAAATGACAGCAGTCTGAAGTTGGTTGCAGTTTTTTCATCTCAACCTGATTTTTTCATATTCAATCGAATTTTTCCTTTTGGTGAAGTTCGGTCCGGTACATCTATTGCTCCAATAAATATTTTTTAATATAATTCTTATCGAAGCCATATCACGCTCTCCGTCGAATTTATTGAAAATTGAATCATAGTTGGACATAGTTCCCAAATTGTGACTACTCTAAAGCCATGATACCCATTCAAATAAGACTCATAGTTGGTAAACTCATAGTTCACGTAAATTCCCTTTATCCTCAACAAAAAAGAATCCAAAATAACAGCACTGCCTAAAAGCGAAACAAAATTCTGAATGTCTAAAACAAAAATTAGGTCGTCGAAAGGTTTTTGTTTATATTAAATGAAAATCATAATAATGAAACAAACAAACATGCCGAAGAGAAGAGGCAGCAACACATTCATGGGCTCCTTCATATTTTTGTTTGGCTCTCGCTTTATAAACAACCCGACCCCACACATATATAAATATAATGTCGAAGGATACACCTCATCGTTGTACTATTTACGTTCTATATTGTGTACGTACGTAATATGATACGACGACGACGACGGCCACGATGATGATGATGACGACAACGACAACGAAGAAGAGAGTGAGAGAGCAAAAGTTGATGATGCCGCACCCATATGTTTTGGTGAATTGGCCAAGTCAAAATACAATTTGGATGTTTGGCGGCATGTTGGCCACCAAAACAACAAAAAATTGCAATGGTTTTCTCACACACATCACCCTCCGCCTACTCGACCTATTTATGCCTTGCTCTGCTGATTTTGGTGCTCCTTGCACTTTGAATCTTCGGCACAATCAACCGTTTAGCAATGATGAGAGCACCCGGGTACACAAATGTCAGCGCGGCCAAAACTATGACATCGTCACACATATGGCGAGCAGAGTTGCCATTAAACATTTACATAAATACTGGCTCTGGAAAATGTTCTAAAAAGATCAGGAATTGAAAAAAAAAAATTGGAAAGAGTTTAGGATTTCGGATTTTTTTAAATAGTATTTTTACCCTGATTCTGGGAAAGTATTTTTTTCTGCGGAAGGGACCCGTATACCCAGGTATTTGATCTAAAAATCCTGGTCTAAGACCCGGATATACCAAACGGATATGGACAGTAGGGTCAGCTAATGATAATACCTATTCAAGGAGTGGTCATTTTACGGGATTATTTCAAACGATTCGGAAGTTTTGTCTAAATTATCAATTTTTTGGATCTGCATTTTTTATAAAACCAAAAAACAATCAACATCTCTTCATTGTAAACCCCAAGAGTGGTACACATTTAGAACCATTTAGTTCTTTTCGAACAATTTAGTACGCATTTACAAAACACCAGCTGAGACCTCGATATCAAATTTCGAAATTTCAGCTCTATGCCTTCACCCAATACCAAATTTAGTACTTTTCGTACAAATATATTATAAATTCCCAAAACCACCTCCAAATCTCAATCAGAGGCCTCAATACCAAATTTGAGGATTTCAGCACTATTCCTTCACCCAATACCAAATTTAGTACTATTTGTTACTTTCATAGAAAAATATTACATATTCGCAAAACCGTCTCCAAATCTCAATCCCAGATGCCAAAAGAGACCTGAATATCAAATTTCGGGATTCTAGCCCTATCACTTGCCGCATTACCAATTATAGTACGATTTCCAAAACTACCTCCATATCTCAATCCCAGATACCAATAGAGACCTCAATATGAAATTTGAGGATTCCAGCCTTATACCTTCACCCACTCCAAATTTAGTACCATTTAGTACTTTTCGTACAAATAAAGGGTGCATTTCCAAACTACCGCCAAATCTCAAAAACAGACAACATCAGTAATGTAAATATCAAAGTTCAGAATTTCATCTCTATATCTTCACCCAATGCCGACTCAGTGCCATTTAGTACTTTTCGTACAATTATAAGACACATCACCGAAACCACCTCCATATATCCAGTCTACACATGAACTGCGACCATAATATCAAATTTCAGATTGGAAGAAAGATTCAGTTTACCCAATAAAAATTGCACCAAATATTGTACTATTTAGTGCTTTTCGTGCACTTGTAGTGCACATTTCCAAAGCCACCTCTTTATCATAAAGCAACCACCAGAAGGGACCCTAATACAACATTTCAAAATTCCTGCTCCAAATTTAGTACCATTTAGAACAGTTCGCACACTTAGTACACATTTTCGAAACCACCTTCAAGCTTATAAAGCTTACTTTCCAACCTTGATTCTCATACCTAATCTGCGAACTTTTCGTAACCCCTAAGTTCAAATTTCTCAAGACCTTTGGTACATCTTTCCTGCACCGCTTCAGTGACTCTCACTCTAAATTTCGGTATTTTAGCTAATTCCGTCTGTTCAACACAAAGTTTTAGTTTAAAAATTTTAGTACATGTTTAGTTCCTTTTGTACC